GAGTATTGTAAAACGTATAAAAAAAAAATCGGGTGACTCAGATAATTATTTCCTAATTTGGGACGGTCTCACCTGTTCATCAGATATATATATAATGTAGATTATTATGCAGGTCATGGGATGATCGATGACAAATTGACCAATGATAAATCGGGTACCCTTATGTCAAGCGAAAATTGACCCGACCTTAAAATTTCTGGTCTGGAACCAATCAAATTTCAGGATCTCATGTAACAAAAACAAACCACGAAACCGCCAAATCTTACTTTCTTATATCGGATTTATGTATAATACTTGAGATACTCCAGCCTAAACATTTGGGTCGGAAGGGTCCGATTTTCACTTGACATAAGGGTACTCTGATAAATCATAATTTGGTATACGTAACACGATCATGAAAATTCTAGAATTGGCATAATGTCTTGTGCTCTAATACAGTAATAAAAAATCCCTTGAGCAATTTTTACTATAAAAACCACCTTTTAACCCTAATTATAACATTGAATCGCCAACAAAATACTTAACGTAACACATCCAAAACAACGTTCGTTTTCAAAAAACCTCTTAACTCAAAAATTTGCTTAGGAAACGGCTTTTCATGTTATAACAAAAAATAATTCCTTATGCAATTTTACAATATACTAACCCTAACCGTAACAAAAACCCCTAATATATACGAACTCTAAAGAATTTTGATGGCATCACGTGATCTCGAAGATTTTGTTGGCGATGCTGGGGAAGATTTTCTTTGCCAAGGTTAGGGTAGGGTGTCGAGGATTATGCGAACGCATAATATGCGCATAATTTGCCATTATTTTGCATCGCATATGCTTAATGAATGTCGCGGCTGATGCTGAAATTCGGACCTATTTTGTTATGAATTTTTAAAAATTTTTTGGGATGTTTTTTCCCGCCTTTTTTTTAGGGTTGGGTTAGGATTTAGAATTGATAATTAAAGAGTATATGTGGGTTCTATCAGGGCTTGTATTTTCAAATCCAGGTCCTAGATTTCAGCATCAGCTAATTTCAGCATCAGCCGCGACAATGAATATTCACGGATTTTAGTTATTCGCGAATATTAATGAATGAATTCGCGGATATTCAGATAATTTCACGTGATTACGTTTCTCAAATTTATCAACTATTCGTACAGAATATTCATTATAGTTATCGTATTGTCACGATTTTTCGCTTTAAAATCGTGACTTGTAGTAACGAGAATGTGTATGCCCTGGGTTATAAGAATATTGTGAGGCTAAGTCTGTGGTGAAGGCTTAGAAGTTTAGATCTGTACAATTATTTATTCTATTCGTCATTTTTGTTTATTTTTATGTCTATCGATTTATTTTATTTGTTTATTATTGTGTGGCATATGAATCCTTAGAAGTAGAAAGAAGGGTTAAACGTGAAAGCCTAGAATGATATTCTAAGAATGGGCTTAGGAGGTATAGGTCTGGTCAGACTAAGGTTGGTAGGGCTAACGGAGTTATAGAAACAAAGTACAGGCATAGACTTAGGGATAGAAGTGTACTTGGTTCCTTGTTGTAAGCCTTCAATGTATTCTGAAAGTATAAAAGAGCTGTCTCTTCGCTCTTCAAATAAAGCTTTAGACTTCAATGTCTTTAATATAAGAGTATTAAGAATTGATTTCTCAATTGTTGTTATAAAGTTTATTGTCATATTGTTGTATTTATTGTTATTTCTCTATCTTAAACCGTGAAGGTTCTTCACGATCGTATTATACATTTTTCATTATTATCCTATTACTCGATTACCTTATATGTATCGACCCTTAATATCGGTCGTACTGATTAACTATCGTGATTATCATTATAGATCAATTTAATTACGATTACATAACTTGATTTATTTACTTGATTGATTACCGGTAGATATAATTAAGTGTCCCGATCTTGGAATAATTACGTAACCCCACGTGCTCAAATTATTACTATAATCGATTGTACTATTTATTTTAATACCCTTGTTCTAATATAAGGAATATATAAGTTAACTATCGGAGCTAGATTGTGCTGATATTGTGAAAGCTTTCCCAAACAATAGTAACAGTATGAATATATGTGTGTAACTAACTTACACACATATATCCATATGATCGTACGGGTCTGACGTAACAACCCGTGCGTCACTTCATTTAAACAAACTATTTAATTAAACATTTTTTGTTTCTAATTACTTTTTCTTTATCCTTATTCGTGAAACTTGACATATTTGAGCTTAGTTTTTCGTTCCAAAGTATCAAGCAACATCCTTACGGTTAACGATCCCAACAGTTAAGAAATCACTTGTTTATTATAAATATTAAAATACTTCGAAATCATAAAGACGAAAGGCATTGTAAATAAATTTGCTATTTAGAAATAAATAATATTTTTCTAAATTACGAAAAACATAATGGTCTCAAATTCGAATTAATATTAGTCCTCACCCAGCAATGAAAAATTTAAAAAACTACCCGACCTAATATAATCTTCGACCTGCCAATAAGAATTATAAAAAACCACCAAACCTAATATTAGTCTTCACCCAACAAATGAAATTTTTAAAGAACCACCGAATATAATATTGGTTTTCGCCCAGTAAATAAGAATTTTAAAAGTTCAACCTAATATTAGTTGTCGGTAAATGAGAATTTTAAAACACCACCAAACCTAATTTTAATCTTCGTAAGCAAATAAGAATTTTAAAAGCTACCCGACATAATATTAGTCTTCGCATAGCAAATGAGAATTTTTAAAACCACCCGATTTAATACATATGTTGTAAGTGGGAATGGAATTTAAGTGGATTTGGTGAAATTTAATGTAACAGCCAATCAGATTTTAGATAGTCACCAGTTTCACCAGCTTTTACCAGCATCTATAGCTGCTAAGATACAATCTTTTGGTAGTACACGCAGTGAAAATCTTCCGGTATGATTACTATAAGCATGGCTACGTTATTGGTAGCTTAATTTTATTTAGTCGACTAAGCCGGTTAAGGCGTTTTTTATTTTATCGGCTCGGTCAATGTTTAAGGACCAACTACAAACATTATCTGTTATTGAGAATACAGTTGTATCAGTGATGTGACCTTCAGCAACACCTTTTTGCCTAGGCAAGTTGATGAGAGAAGTTTATTCTTGCTCGGATTTACATTCGGTTTAGAACCGATTCTCTTTTAAAAACATATGGGGTCTTTGCTATGAATGTTTTTTTCTAAAAATAGATTTACTATGTTTTTCTTAATAGAAATCTCGTGTAACAATGCTCCGGAGGGTCATTTTAATAGCAAAGAACCCATATATCAGGTTGGAAACTGACTACGAATTGGCTTGTGATTATATATATCGCTTAGTTACGTACGTACGTCTATATCAGATACAGTATAAAAATTACACCAAACCCGGTTTATAAAATTGAGCTGTAATTAGTGACGTAAATAAGTCTGCATCTGTGACTTATTATTTTACTATTATGGATATTCTACGTACTGTACTCCGAAAATACTTATTTATGCTGCGAGTGATACAACCCTAAAAGGAAATTTGAAGTAAAAATGTGTAAGACAATCGGACTAAGATTATTAGAGAGTCCGTAGCTATAAGGATAATAAAGAGTTTTTAGGTTTAAAATTTCATCCCCGTCATTTTTAATTAGTTACGAAGTAGATTTAAACAATAGTTTTTCTTGTATTTTCACTTTTTTTTTGGCTTTTCGCACGTGTCGACTTGACCTAAGATGAAAATTTACATTCTCTGATTGTCCACTTTCTTTTTTAGAGTTTGTATCACTCGCACAAGTGGTCATACCATTATAACAGAATCTTCTGCTGTAACATCACCATTGTACGCCATCAAATTTTGTCTAGCGCTAGCGCTAGGATAATTAATATATATATACGTATTTAAGGAGGAATATTAAATTTTTATCGTTTTTTAACTTCAACAAAAAAGCATAGCTTTTTTATTTTTTTTTTTAAAAAAAAAAAAATATATAGCTTTTGAGTATGAATAAAATCGAATATACAGAAATCATTTCGGTTTTTCATGTTCATTTACCATTTAATATTGATTCGTGCAAACTCGCAGTTTTGGGAAATTGCGAAGCTTTAGGTAATTGGAGAACACCTAAAGTATGGCTTCGTCAGATTCCAAACTCTACTCTTTGGGTATCTGATCATGTGCACATTCACGTCCTAGCAAACATAGATGTTGAATACAAATATTGTTTGGTTTCATCAGAGCGTTTATTAAATTTTGAAGGTGATGAGTTCACAACCAATAGAAGAATGGAACTTCGTGGAAATCTTTACGACGTTTGGAAAGATAGCAGTAAATTTAAAAAAGAACAATTTTCATATAGAGAAGCTTTTGTATTTACCGATTATATTTACAAGAGCATAAAATCTCCTATTGACTTAAAAATCGGGATCATGGATTATCAACATATTTTAAAAAGGCACAGGGACTTTAAAGAAATTTACAAAATAATCAGTTTCATTAACCAGCATATAGAAACAAACAAAACAAACGAACAAGTATTGTTTTTGTACGTTCTCCT